AATTGGTAAAGTATGAATTTTAAACTGTGCTTATGCATCCTGGATGAAGGAAATTAAAAATAGGAATCACCTTATCACGAAGTTGCTGAATCATGTTTTCGCTTTTCCAATAGCCATCAGATTGGTGCCCAGGTTTGATGATAATACAAGCATTCTGATCAAGTCCAAGTTATTTAGCATCTGCTTTAGTAAGATATAAAGAACCATGACAGGCACACATGAAATCGCTAACCATAATTGCAGACCCTTGACCTTTTTTCTTGATGAAAGATTTATTATTTTCAACCCAAAAGAATGAATTATCATCATTAGCATAGAAATATACTTCATCATGGGTAACTAACACATGGTGAGAATCCCAAATTTCAAGCCGTTCTGGTAAGATAATTATCTCTATTTCATCATCATTATAGTCTTCTATTTTTTTTCTATAATTCACTATTCTTAACGCCTATTCTATATGATATTTTTTACATCTTCTCGCTTATGGCCGTCTAAATAGATCTAAAAAATTTTATAATGAATAAGTAAAAAAAAAAAAAAAAATCAAACTCTACTTGTTTTCCTATAGTTTTTTTGTGAAATTTCCACAAATGCATGAACTTTCGTACGGTTGGTTCTGAAATAGTAATTGGCACTCCAAGTAATTTAGAAAAAATAGTTTCTTCTAATTCTTTTTTTAGTACTAAAGGAGAATGATCTTTTGGGTAAATTGTGCATAACTATCTACAAGCAGCCAACTTAATGTCTTCATCATCAAGTAACAATATTCTTTTTGCATATTTTCCTTGCTGGTAACTAGATAAGAAATCTTGAACAAGATAATCCTTTGCCCATCCTCTAAAACAGCGAGACATGTATTCAGTACTCCAGATACCTCTTCTGATGCTTCTATTTTTTTTTTCTTCTAAAAGCAACCTAAAATATTGACAAATAGATGACAACCTTTGTACATCATAAGATTGCATTTTTGCTATTTGTTCTTTAGTATTTTAGAGACCACGAAGTTGCTTTTTTAATGTATTATAGTATTCCTCCATTAGTTATCTTTGTTGCTGAGATTAGATGGTGATATTTTTACAATATGGTATAGATGATTCTTCTGGTATAGTATGTATTTCTTGATTATGTATCACTGTATCCCACATT